CTGCTATTTATAAAAGCTATGCAGTGCATACACGAACTGACAGATTATACTTTATCAAGAGCAGTAGTTACAGATTTTACCCTCTCAGGATTTTTGTGGTCAATAATACCGTGCCAGAGCTAATAGATAAATGCCAAAGGCAATAACTGCATTTGTTATTTATATTTCTGGGGTGGGCTGAGCTCTGTTTTCCGGGAAGCAGCGGGATGGGTGTCCCTGTGCCCACCCCCCTGGGTCCCAGAGAGAAGCTGCTCTTGTGGCTGCAGCTGAGGGGCAGTGGGAAACCTGAACAGTCCTGATGGAAACCGATGCAAAACCAGGTTTTGTTGGGTTTGGGACTTGCCACTTTTCCCTGATCCGTGTGTTTTGCCTTAGGAAACAGGAACTGGGCACCAAGACATTTTGTTACCCTAGAAGGGACGAGTTTGTTTGTGTTTATTTCCTGAGCCACCTGGAACGATTTGGGTCTCAGTTGGCACCTGAGAGCCTCCTTCTGTGTCCTGGGTGGGGTGGTGGCTATCAAAGGGGTAAAAGTTGGAGCAGGAGGGTGGGTGGAGAGGAGAGCAGTGGCTCTTTGGGGATTTGCATCTGGAAAGGGCCCTCAGTTTCCCTATGGGAGTCCTGGAAACAGAGCTGAGAGTTCCTGAGCAATGAGGATGGTGCAGCTGGAGTGCTGAGAGTGCAGAGGCTGCAGTGGGTGTTGTCTGCTCGCTCTCCTGATGTCCCATCTCTAATGCTGGGCTGGCACCCAGGCACCTCCCAGGGCTGGACACCCTCAGGGCAGGGGTGGTTTTTAAATGTTTTAAATGCTGCAGCAGCTCCCTCAGATTGGATGAGTGTGAGGATATCCAGCTCTTTCTTAGGGCTTGGAGCATAGCAAGGGTGCAGGGCTCATGGTCAGTCTTGTTTAAACACTTGTAATAGCAAAATATTTTAAAACAGAGACTTTGAGGAAATAACATCCGTGAGTCTGTTGCAAGGATAGGTACAAGCTGTCTTTATTAAAGATCCACACTGCTGGATGTTTTGTCAAAGCACTCTGGGGACAGAAGGTGTCCCCAAAGCTTCATGAACCCCTTGTTTTCTGCTGGTAGGGCAGGGTGTGAGCCCAGCCTCGGGGGCTGTGTGGCTCATCCTGCCTGGAGCAGGGACACCCCGTGAGGCTGAGCCACAGAGGTTCAGTTGTTGGAGCAGGTGGGGATCTCTTTGTGCCTGGGAATTGTTGTTGCTGCGTTCCTGTCCCAGCTGCAGGGTTCCCTCAGAGCCTGTGCCCTGCAGCAGCACTTGGAGCTCCTGTGCTGGGCAGGGAGCAGCTCTGGGCTGGGGCTTTCAGTCCCATCAGCGTCCATTGAAATCCAGCGTTTGTTTTACTTCCATCAGCCTCTCTGCTGTGCCACCCTCGGTGCCAGGGGACAGAGCTGTGGGAAGGCTCCATCCCATCTGTGCCAAGTGCTGCCAGCGCTTCCAGCAGCACTGCTGGGGCATCAAGGGCTGCCTTTGGAGCCTGGCTTTCACAGAGGGTTACACACTCTGCCCTTCAGCATCCAGCTGCATCCTACAGCTGGATAGTTCAGCTCGCAGGGAGCAGAGTCAGCTCTTGGGCCCAAACCAGGTTTTGTCCCACAGAGAGCGACTGAGCTTCCTGAGGTAGCACACAGATGTGCACTGGCCTTTGGGGCTAATAGTGAGTGCTGCCAGGTGATTGTGATAAGGTTGAACTGAAGCTTTCTTAGAAAAGCCATCAGCTGTAAGGAGAATCTATGGAAAACAGGTGGCTGGTGCACTAGCTGGTAGTAGGTCCTGGGCTTTTCTTCTTCTTCTCTTTAACCTGTTCTTAAGAGGACCCCAAAACTGCAAAATCAAAAGGAAGGGGGATGTGGGGGTGAAAGTTGCTTTTCATTTTTTGAAGTGTTGCTGTGGATTTTGGTGTGTCAAGTGGCACTACCAAAACAGCATTGGAATAACCAAACTTCAGGACTCTGCACTTAATTCCTTGAATGTGTTTGTGTGGGTGCAGGAAATGCCAAATCCCAAGGCAATTCCATGTCTGTAACTTCAAGTGCAACATCTTTAAAACCAAGTGCTCAGTGTGGGCTTTCCACGTGGATGCAAATGGTCAAAGGCCTTTCTTGTGTCCCAAAAGCAAAAACCCTTTCTCTGTGAGGTTTTGGAGGGGATTCTCTTTGGGATTTCTTGTGATGCAGCATCCTGGGTGTCCCTTCCTTTGTGCAAAGTCCAATGATAAAGGATGGAATGGCTGACACATGGGGTCTGGGATAAAAATGGTTCTGTTAAAATTGGGCAAAGAATGCAATAAGAAAAATGAGCATCCTTTCAATGTCTGAAATAGTCAGGAATAAAAGTGCTGGAAAAGGACACGTTTATGTTTGAATTGGTGTCACCTCTCATGGATAAAACCCCATAGTGAGCAATCAGAGCAGAAGTATGAGAGCTAGGATCCTTTGACTTCCACAGTGGATTTAATTTTCTTTTTCTCCTCTCTTTCAGGGCAGGAAAAATCATCAAACTCCTCCCATCTTTGCCAAAAGCTTTGGTGTTTAAGCAGCCAAAGGCAAGAGGCCTCAGCACCAAGGGTCTGCGCTGGAGGGCTCTGGTCCTGCCCATGCTGTGGGGTGAGTCAGAGGGACACAGGGCTCCTCTTTTCCTCTCTGCTGGGATTAACTGCCATGGGAATGCCATTGCTGACAGCCCAGCCCCAGCTGTGTCTGCTGGAGAAGGGCAGAGGTGAAGAGACAAATGCCAGAGTTCCCTGGGGATGCTGGAGTTGTGGTGTTGGCTGTGCCCTGAGGGGCAGGTTGGGCATTATCTGTGCACCCAAGGACTGCTCTGGGGGTTTGGGAGCTCTCAGTGCATTCCCAGCTCTGCCAGGGCTGGCAGCCGGTGCAGGGCTGGGTGACAGCCTCTGGTCGGGCTGGGGGCAGGCATGGCCCTGGCACAAATGCAGGGGCAGGGCTGGGAGGATTTGGGAGCAATGGGAGGAGAATGAGGGATGGTGCTGGGCACAGTGGTCAGCCTGTGCTCGTGTCAGCACAGCCCTGCAGGGCCCTGGCATCTGGGAACAGCTCCAGCTCTCCTGGGGCCCAGGGATGGGCTCTGAGGGACTGGGTTTACCTGTGGCTTTCCAGGTCAGCAGGAACAAGGGCAATGTGGTGCCAGAGCTGTGGCCCATCCCATCAGGCTGTATTTCCCTCTGGGAAAGCAGAACAGTCTCTGGGCTGAGGTGAGTTTCCTGCAAGTGCTTAGAATCCAGGGAAATGGGAGTTCAGGAATTGCATCTGCTGCTGGGAACAATGCCTTAGGCTTGCTTAGTTTGTGTCTGTGAGAAGTGGGCTTTGGGCTGGAGAGGTGCTGTTGGCAACAAAAGATGGAGTCAATCCTCTCCAGGGATGTGCAGTGAAGGACTGAGTGGGAGGGAAGGGGAGTATTTAGAAATGATATCAGCATTTCTCCCAAAATTGGGGTGCAGCAGTGATGGGGGTGGTTGGGTTTGCTCTGGGCCTTGTTATTCCTTGTGCAATTTTCAAATTCTGTTGCATGATTTACTGTCCAGTATCTTTCTAACAAAAACTGACAGAAATTTAGGTTAAGATTAGAACTTAGGTCCATTCACTGCAAAATCTTGCCAAGACTGGAGGACTGTGACGATGGCTGCTCTCAGCAAAGGTCACTTATTAATGCTGTGTCAGATTTCCCTCAGTGCTGGGCAGGAAAGGTGAGGGTTTGGATCAGGAATTCTGCAAACAAGGCCTGGGTGACGGTTGATTTGTTTTGTTTTTCAGTGAGCCAGGGCTGGCACAGGGAATCGTGCAGGTACTGGTCTGGCACCAGAGCTGCTGCCCTTTGGAGCCATTTTAAGGGTATGATCATAGAACATTTTGGGGGCTGTTTTCAGAACTCCTGTCCCCAGCCCATTGCTAACCCTGGGACATCTGCTCTGGTTTCAGGCTGTCCTTGCTGGAGCAGCCTGGTCCCTGCCGTCCCCAAGCCCTGAGACACAGAGGGAGCCCTGTCCCAAGTGGCCTTTGGCACCTTGTCAGGAATGTGGCAGCAGCCCCGGGAGCAGGCTGGAGGTGAGAACTGGGTGTTTGAAACTGAGGAGTGTTTATCTGGGGCTGGGGGGAAGGGGGAGGAGTTTCCATCCCCCCTGGAGCTTTCCTGCTGGGATGGGGCAGCACAGGCAGCAGAATTAATTGTGCACCTCCCATGGGCATTGCTGGCCTTGGTGTCTGTGTTGTGCCATCAGACCGTGGCACTTTGCTGCTGTCACTGCCACTGCCAGCCCAGCTGGGGGCTGTGCCCTCCTGCCAGCCCCACACAGGAGCTCCAGGGGTGCCTCTGTGCCCTGTTGGGAGCGTTTGCTGGGAATGTGCCTCAACCCTGGGAGTGTCCCTTTGTCCCTGGGCTGCCAGACAGAGCTTTGGGCTGCTCAGGCTCAGGGTTGGATTGCCAAAGGCACTGAGAGGGAGCAGCACAGGGAGGGTGCTCAGAGAGGGGCTGGCAGAGCCCAGCTGGCAGGCTGGGCTGGGTGCTGCAGGTGGGTGGGTGTGCACTGCAGGGAGCAAATGTCCCCTTCCTTAACCAGCCCTGCAGATCCCAAGGGCTCCTAGAGCAGGATTTTATTCCTCACTTCCCTTTGTGGAAATTCATTCTCCAAATTGCCATGAGCAATTCTTTGATTTCTCTAGGAGAAAACCTCCCAACAGAGACAGATTGCAGTGGAGGCCAGAGTTGTGTTTGGAGCAGAGAGTGCTGAGAGCTGCGTCTGCCTGTGCTGCCACAGCCTGACCACAGCCACATGGAACAGCCTGGGAAAAGGGAATTGGGGGAATTGCTGATGCCCCAGTGAGAAGAACACAAACTCACAGCCATTCAGCCTGACAGTCCCCTCCACCCAGAGCTCAGCACACATCCTCAGAGGTAAGTCCAGCATCTGAAGGAAAAAAAAACACAGAAGAAAAAGGTGTTTTATTTTGCTCTAAAGTTATTTTGAGTTGTTATTAAACCCAGCCAACATTCGCTCTTGATTTTGGTTGGGTGAATAACGAGCAGTGGGTATAGATGATACCATTCATGTAGCTGAAAACCTGGTGTAACCTAGAGGGGATACAAGAACTGTTTGTGTAGGAAAACGTGAGGGGATGTCAGGGGGAGTGAGGTGGCATTTTTGAGGGAATAGCTCCCAACCACCACAGCCGTAGCATGCCTGGAGCCCTGGCGGGACCCAGCCCTGCACTGGCTGCAGCCAGAACGGCTCTTCCTGACCACGGCGATGCCGGTCCCAGTCCCGATCCCAGCCCCAGTCCCACCTCGATCCTCCAGCCCCAGCACCCACCTGTACCTTGCCTGCCAAGGAAGAAGCGGCCTGGCTCCCCCAGCAAATAGGGGCAGGATCAGGACCCGAATCCCCAGGCCTAAATCCTAATCCCGGCCCCACCCGAGCACCTTGGACCCTGCTCAGTACCAGCAGCAGCCTCTAATCTGGATCTCTGCACAGCACTCAGACGGACGCTCCCACCGCATCCCGAGATGAGCACCCCCCACAGAAAGCAGGACAGGTGCGGATCCGCCGGGATTTATGGGCGGGCGGGGGGGAGGTGGGGGCCCCGGGGGCGGGGCCGGCACAGGTGCGAGGGAACCCAGTGCGGCTGCGCAGGGAGGGGCCTTAGGGGATTTAAGGCGCGGGGAGGGGCTGGTGGAACCGTGTGCTCCTCGGCGTTTGCTAAGGGAGGTTGCTACTGGCCGGGGCCTATATCTCTTTTTCTCTACGTTTCTTTTCTTTTCTTTTTTTTTTTTTTCTGTTGTATTTCTTGTTCTGTATACTTCTCCTTTCAACCCTCCTTTCCACCTCCCCCCCCCCCCCCCCCCCCCTCCCCCCCACGGCCACCCCCAACCCCCGCCCCGACTTCATTCCTCTACCCCACCTTATTTCTCCGTCCTCTTCCTTCCCGCCCCAACCGAGCTCCCCCCCCACCCCTTCTCCCTCCTCCCCGCCCCCCCCCCCCCCCCCCCCCAGTCGCGCCCCATCTACCCTCAATCCTGCTCCTTCCTCCACCCCGCCTTACCCCCAGCCTCATCCCCTGCCACCCTGCACACCCCGACCTGCCCCCACCTTCTCCTCACCTACTCCTCCGCTCCCCTATTCTCGTTCTCCATTCCCCGCTCCCCTCCTTTCCTCACAGCCGCGGGGCTCGGGGTGCCGGGCAATAATAAAGCCCTAAGGGCTGGAGCTCGGCGCCCCTGCCCTCGCTGGGGTCCCCACGCGGGGCCGGACGCGCTCTGCAGGTGCCCCTATTGCAGTCCAACACACCACCCGACACCGCCGGGGCTCCGGTTTTCCCAACATCACACTGGGGGGGTCCTGGGGAGAGGGGTCCGAGTTACAGGGGCCGCCTCATTAGGAGGGGGTCTCCCCGGAGGAGGAAATCGGGGAGAGGGCCGGGCCTGACGGGTAACTCCCCCTCCAGGCCCCGCCCACTCCCCGGGACTCCTCCGGCCGGGGGGAGGGGCGGGGACAGTCGTGTGGTTGGCTTTTTTTTTTGTTTGTTTGTTTTAAATTTGTGTTTACCGTACAGAATAACGTGCCCCTCTTTGCTTCCCTACCCGCCCCTCCCCCCCCGGGCCCCGGTCTGGAGGCGGGGGGGGGCTGGAGGGCCCCCTCCGGAGGAGGGATCCAGCCTAATCTACCCACACCCCCCCCACCCCAGGACCACCCCCCCCCCCCCCCCCCCCCCCCCCAGTGTGATGTTGGGAAAGCCGGAGCCCCGGCGGTGTGTTGGACTGCAATGGGGGCACCCGCAGAGCGGGTCCGGCCCCGCGTGCGGACCCCAGCGAGGGCAGGGGCGCCGGGCTCCGGCCCTCAGGGCTTTATTATTGCCCGGCACCCCGAGCCCCGCGGCTGCGAGGAAAGGAGGAGAGGGGAGGACGGGGAGACAGGAGAGATGGGGGAGGTGAGGACGGGGAGGGAGAGGGGTCGGAATGAGGAGGGAAGCGGGAGAGGAAGGGAAAGGCCGAGGGGGGAGAAGAGGGACGGTGGAGAGACGAGGAATAGAAAGGAGTAGCGGGCAAGGGACCGGACGGGAAGGAGCGGGGGGGGTTCGGGTTTAGAAGGAGAGGAAAGGAGCATTTCAGGGCGAGAGGGAAGGGGGAGAAAGAAAGGGAATACGCGGAGAAGGAAGGAGGGGTAGAGAGAGAGACAGAAGGAAAGGCCGAAGCTTCCGCGCCTTACCTGCGGAGTCCCCACAGGGAGCTCCCGTCCGCACCGTGCACTGAGTGAGCAAATGGTGGCTGAAGCGATTTCCGGGGTCTAAATCACCTCGGCCCCGCCCCGCGCAGCCTCCCTCGGGCCCCGCGCACCTGAGCTGGCCCCGCCCCTCGTACCGCCCCTTGTGCCGCCCGGCCCCGCCCCTGACACCGCCCCCGTTCTGTCAGGCCCCGCCCAGCCGTGCCAGGCCGGCAAATGTTTGAGGGGCGGGGGCATCGCTCGAGGCCCCGCCCCCCGCACCGCTGTCCCCCGCCACGCAGGGGCGCCGCGCTCGCACTGCTCTCCGTATCCGCCAGAGGGCGCCGTGCGGGGTCCCGGCTCCACACGGCGGCTCCGCACCGGGGAACGGCCGCGATCCCGCACCCGGCAGCGCCCCGTGCCCGCGGCCATCCTGGGCCCAAAACCGATTCCGGGCCCGGTGCCGCTTCGATCCGCCCGACGGGGGAGAGGGGGCACCGCCCGGCACACCCCAGCGGCGCTCTGCCCCCCACCCCCGGCCACGGTGGCGGTGGCACCGTCGCAGCGCCCCGTGCCCGCTCTCCGTGGCCCCGCCCCCCTATTCCCCCCGGTCCCGGGAGCCTCGCTCGGCGCTGTGCGAGCCCCGTCCGACGGCTGCTCCCGCCGGGGACTGCTCGGAGCCCGGAGCGCTGCGGCGGGGCCGTGACCGTGGCCCGGGGTGCGGGGGCCGAGCGCTGCCTGGGTCTGCCGGGGGTCCCGGGCGGTGCCGCCTCTCCCCCGTCGGCATCGGGACCGGGATCGGTATGGGGTGGGAGGAGCCGCTCCGGGCGGGACTTGGGGCCGAGTCTGACACCGCCGCTCTCGCCCGGGAGGAGCGGCGGGGAACCGGGCGGGACAGCGGCGGCCGTTCCCCGGTGCAGACGCGGAACCGCGGCCAGGACCGGGCCCGGCGCGGGGGCTCCGACCGGCACCGTGTGCTCGGGGGGCGGCCCGGCCTGTGGGCTCTGTCGCCGGACCCCAAAATGCAGGACTTGGCCTCTGTGCTCAAGGCCTGGATGAGCCTCGTTCTGCACTCCCGAAACAGAGGGCTCAAGTCCCTGCTTCACAGCCCTGGGCCTGGCCAGGTGGGACTGGGTCCAAGTGCCAGCAGCGGAGGACTTTGTCCCTGAGCCCTTCTCACCTTCACCACCACAGAAAAAACCCAAAACAAAACAAAAAAAACCACCCACAGGACTTAAGACTCTGATTCTGAGACCAGAAAAATGCCCAATTTATTAGTCTCAGTTCACAGGGTCGTGGAATTGACTGTGGACATCCCTACAGATGGTGACAGGGAATGGACCTCTCACACTTGATTCTGTTGTGAGAACTGCTTCAGGCTAGCAAAAAAACCACACGTGGCATAAGAAGGTAGGAAGCCTGCCCTGAAAGGATGCCATAAAATGCAGCCTATCTGCAATACTGTGTTATCCCAGCAATGTGATATCCTATTATCCCCACCCGGGTTTGTTGTGCCCCCTCCGGCTCACTGAGCGATGCCGCTTGTGGCTCCAGGCGCTCCCGTGGTGCAGGGAACACCCACGGATCCGCTCGGCTCGGGCCACTCCCAGTGCGCAGGCCGGAGCGGGCAGCAGCAGGTGACGATCTGGGTGCTCCTCCCCGGGTCCTGAGCTCAGGCTGAGGGAGCTCCCACCTGCCGCTACCGGGAAGGAGCAGCTCCCCAAGGATGGCCGCGCTCCCGTGCGATGGCAGCTGCCCTGCCTCTCTCAGGGACAGCGTGAGCGTTGGAAGAGGAACCGGAGCCCCAGCGGCAGGGGCTCGGCAGCAGCCGGCACTGAGCCCCCTGCACTGAGCAGGAGCAGAGGGACGTGCCCGAGCCCGGGACTCGCATCCCGCACGGGGACTCGGGGACGTGGGGTCTCTGCTTGGGCTCCGCCAGGAGGAGGAGGCGGATGGGATGGGAGTGCCCGGGAAGAGCCCGGCACTGCCAGCCGACAGGGCTGGTGCTGAGGGGAGAACTCGCTCTGTGTTCCTTGAGCGGGATTTAGGGATGGCCAGAAGCTTTAATATTCATTTTACAGACTATCCCACACCGACCGATACCAACGTGCATTATGCAAAACCACCACAATGTCTGCAGGCTTCAAACAAAGATAAACAATGCTGTTCTCCTTTCCTTCTTTATGCAAGTACACGTAGCTAAGATTAGTAACACCTGATACCATTTTCTCTTTAAAACTCTGGCCAATACCATGCCACTGACTAGGTTTCAAAAGCAGAAAGATGACAGCCATAAATTAAACCTGATGCCAGATCTTTGCATATTTAGCTTTCCATTACAGAAATCCCTGGATGGATCCACGTGCTCCTCTGCTCCTATGATCTGAGGTTTTGTCTCACTCTCATCTCATTAGGATGCCCTAAATCCAACCTGTTCTGCTTCTCAGACCAAGGCCTGCTGCCATCTCTGCTCGTGACATTTGCATGGCACACATTGTTACCATACTGATAATGGCAAAACAAATTGCCTCTCTTTCTTTCTGCAATAAACAATAAATAAAAGTTCAGCTTCTGGGGAGCTGCAGCTGTGAAACTCATGAGCAGCTCTCAACATGATCTAAACGTGGAGCTGCTCTTTTTCAAGTCTTCCCCTGTAGAAAATCCACATTGTTGTAAAATGCCACCAAAGCAGGAATTGCTGCTGAAGCTCTCTTAGCGCACAAGGGAAGAGCCATTCATGGGGCTAAAAGTGCCTCATTCCCACTTTTCATTGCTCTTGGATCAACCTATGTGTTAATTTCCATCTTCCTGATAAGTCTTGATCTTTTGTAGTGGAATCAAAGCAAAGCAGAGGTGAGCAAAACTCCACCTGTTGGTATGATCCTTCCAACTGCTTTAATTTATGTTGTTCCAGCTGTATTTATTTCATTAATAAAAGGCAAATTAAAGAGTCTTTTTATCTCCACGGTTTATGTTGTCTTTTGCTTGCTTGGACTTTTGCTTTCTGCCCTTTGCCAGTCTTGGCACGTTCACCTTTCAGGATTCCCATCCTCCGCCCTGCCCGGGCTGCCTCTGGCTCAGCTCCCTTGGCAGCTGCTGCTTTCACCTGAGCTTTTTGCCTTTAGCTCATATCCCTTTCCATCGGCCATGCCTCCCAACTGCTCCAGCCCGGGAATTCCCGCCTGTGAACAAGCAGGGATTCCCTCCCCTGGCCCAGGGAAGCCTCCACCCATGCACACATTGCCAAGGGTCAGGGGCTGCTCCAAACCTTTGGTATCCCAGAGCTCCCGGATCACTCCCAGGGCAGAGCTGGGAGCCTGTCCTAAGGACCAGGACTGACGCACGCGGTGACTGCAAAGTCCCCCATGGATATTGGATCCAGCTGTCAGGAGCAGGTGCAGCCAAGGCAGCCCATTTCCTTCCCACTGAGAGATCTCCAGCACTTCAGCCTGGTAAGGCTGGCACACAAATCCCTGCTCTGGGGCACAGCAGTGACTGCAGCGCATCCAGGAGAAGGCAAATGCAATGATCGTGGCTCAGTTCTGAGGCTGTGATCGAGATTCATTCTCAGTAATTTCAAACAACGATTTCACCCCACTGCTTAGTTCTTTCTACAGCTGGGACTCCAATAAGAGGAGAAAGGAGGCAGTTTACTGGAGCCCCTTTCCTGCCAAACATTGAAGTTCATTCAGGTCCTGAGAGAAAGCACAGGGGAGAGCTGCCCCTGCTCTGCTGGGATTGCACCCTGCACTCACGAGGGACAGGTGTCTCTGTGAAAATCGGTCTCAGTATTTTTATGCCTCATAGTTCCCACTGAAATGATTTTGACCAGAACTGAGACTGCTGAGCATCATTGAGCAGCAAAGGAGACATTCAGCAATCCCCATGACCTGGCAGAGATTATTGCTGGTGATGGCCTGAGCCCTGGGCTGAGAGTTACAGTGGTAGCAGCAGTAACAGCCACCCCGGGATTCCCCAGAAATAGGAGAAACTGTCCCTTCCCTTTGTGGGGAGAATGTCTATTGTGCATCTCCCAGTTACAGCCTCAGCACTCAATTAATTCCTTCTACCTTCCTCACAAGGCATCTCCACTAGTTCCATCATCTGCCAGCTGGGCAATGCTCCCCTCCTTATTTCAAAGGTGAGAGCAAGGAACTTTGCAATTGCCCCTCACTGAGCTCCTCTCACATCATCTCCCATTCCTTTCATTTCCTTACCAGCAAGGAGAAACATTAAAGGAAAAAAGTGTGTTGTGGTCTATGCAAGGCCAGAAAGTGGCCTGAAGAGACAGATTTTGGATTAACTCTGGCTGTATAAGACCAAAGTCAATCAGGATTTCCTCAAAAAGAAAAAAAGAAAGGAGAGGGTTATTAAAGCTATTTATAGAGTCAGATTAAGGTCCGTTCCTCAAGGTTTTGGCTTTTGGCACTTCTGTAAGCAACACAACAGACTGTGGGCAACTGTGACAGACTGCACAGAGGACTCGGAGGAGGAATTCATTCCCCCATCCAAATCAACTGAATTGACTTGGATAAGGACAGGAATTCCCTCTGGAGTGTCAGTGCTGCCCAGGTACTGGCAGGGTGACTTGCACTGCCACCCCTGGCACCTCTGGTGCTCAGTGGGCACAGCTGAGGGGCTGCTGGGCCTCTCTGAGCTCGCTCCTTTGAAGGGAAACTTTGTGGCATTGCTGAGAAGATGCCCTTCCCTATTTCCCATGTCTCTCTGTCCCAGAGAATGCCCTGCTGCTCCCAGGGCCCCTCCCTGCCTGTTGCTGTGAGCCAGCAGAGGCCTCACTCCCCCTGCAGTTCCCGTGCCCTGCTGGGATCTCACATCCCAGGGCTGGGCAGGGAGTGGCACGGGGGAATGACCTGCTCGGGTGTCCCTGCAGCTCCAGCACAGCTCTGCTGCCAGGGGAGAGGAGCCCGGTCCCAGGTGGCTCTGACGCTGCTGGCATTCATTGTCACAGGACTGTGTGGGTGTCACCTCACCAGCAGAGGGACTCCATGGACCCCATCCAGCACTTTCAGAGCCTCTGCCTGAGGGCTTTTGGCACCGGGGGCACGGCT